GCAATTCAAATAAATAAAATCAAATTCTGGAAAATTTATTTAAAATGCTCAGTTCGAAGGAATAAATAGAAAATTTTAAAACAATTATCTGAAGAGACAATGCAACACAAACAATTAAAATAAAAGTATAAGAATTTAAAAATTACCTAAAATAATAACTATGACAAAAAATGTATATAAAGAAAACTATTTGAAAAAAAATAAATGCTGCACCTTTATTTACACAATTCGAATAGGTAAATAGAAATTTTTAAAACGGTTATTCGAAAAAAACCAAAATGAAATTCGAAAAAGAAAAAATTATTTAAAATAATAAGTTATAATTAAAAATACAATATAAAGAATATTATTTGGAGAAAAGGAACGATGGTGACTTTTTTTCCCTCTCACGGGAAAGGAAACTAGGTTGCCATATATTAAGAAGTTCGCCAAGTGAACTATTCTTGGCGCAAACTGACAAAATAGTGCCAACATAAATTTGTGAATTTCTCCGTAAATTTTGCTCCAAATTTTACAAAATTTCATATTTAGGCGTAATTTGAGTCGTAGAATCGAAATATGTAAAAAAATTGGTATGTTATTTCAGAAAAAGTCCGATTTTGTGTCAAAATACCTATGTTAGAATAGTGCTATATATAAATCTTTCGAGACATGAAGAACGCAGTTTGAATTTTGTCAATCGGCCCAGTAGATCGGGAGATATAGGACTGTACCATTTTTTTTTTTTTTTTTTTTTTTTTTTTTTTTTTTTTGAGCAGTGATGTACTAGTATATGTGTGTGTGTGTATCTGTTGCAGTCCAAACTGATGTAGATGAAATACACAAATATCATGTTGCTATTCTTTCGATAAATTTGAAATAATAAGTTTATCATATTTGACCTCATGTTATGCTACTGACATTTTTTCTAAAAATCTATTTGTTACATACATTAATCCTTCACAATTGTTATGTTTGTAAAAGTATTGCACCTAGTCTTCTGTGAGAAAGTATTATTTTGGAAATCAAATATAAATCAAGTACTATAAAGAATTGGAAGACTTTCCATACTTATTATGTACATTTCTTATGCGTTGAAATTGGGAAAGAATTCTAGATTTTATTAGATAAACAAAACAATTTTAAAAATTACATATTAACCTTTTCAAAAATACAGTATATTTGAGATTTTTACTATCAACTTATTCAATGTGTTACATTTCTTAAAAAACAAACATTACACAAAAATTCAATGCATTTTAGAAAAAGTTAAACTATAATTTGTTAGTATTAAGGAACCTTATGAAAAAAAGTACATAAGTTTGTGGCTTTGTAGGCTAAATCTGGGTACCTAATATAAAAAAATCTGATGTGTACACCACATGACTTCCTTGTACGGAATATTGAATTATACGCATTTTTTCTTGCATTTCATTAAAACTTATTGGATTGAATTAAATCTACTTCACCGACAGCGCATAAACCACAATAGAATAAATGTATTCTTTAAAATTCACTCTATTTTGTAAATTATCTATGTAAAGATATACAACAATCAATATGTTTATTTTAAAACTATTTAACGATATTGCTTTTTAATCGAATATTACGATTTAAGTGCGAAGAACATAATATTTAATAAATAAAGGTAACACACAAAACGTTGAAGAAAAACCCATTTGGGCGTAATGTAAAATCTGAAGGTTTCTGAATTTTTATTTACTTATGAGTCCAGACGGGCTTTGTCCCTGAGGGACTATTGTTTTCTTTTTGCGATTTTGCGTCGAATCACTCTGAATGTTTCCGTTTCTCTGAAATCCGTTTCACTTTTCAAATTGTTGCCAGCAAATATTATCGCCCTGTATTATATTTGAAAATATTCAGTAATCCGGAATCTGTCTAAATGTATGTATATTTTTCGCATTGTCATAAAACAATGGTACCTAGAGCCATCAAATTTTGAATGACGTCATCCTACTGCGAGTATTGGTATCTGAAAGCCCAAATTTGAAATTTGGAATTTGTTTTATGATCGATTTCATATTTTGTAAAATTTAAAAGAATTTTTGAGTAACAAACTAAACGATTTAAAAGCGAGCAATGGCAACACTGTACGGGTGGGAAAAAAAAAAAAAAAACTTTTTATCTCCAGCGCGCGGAGCTGTGTATCGGAAATTCTAAAGATATGCTCATTTAAAATTATTTTGCGACATTGCTATTGAACTAAATTTTATGGTACAAGTGCAAAGAACATGATATTTAATAAATAAACTTAACACACTAAACGTTAAAAAAACTTCCCTTTGGACGTAATTTAAAACCTGAAACCTTTCAGATTTATTTATTTATTTATTTTTCAAGTTAGGAACTGACCTGTATATGGATGCCGGCGCTTTTATGTCGGAAAACCATTAAGCATTTCTTCAAACAATGATTGATTTGCATAAAATTACCGGCAGCAGTGTAAAAAATTCTCTACACTTGAAAAAAAAAAAAAAAAAAAAAAAAGAACTCGTGTAAGCTATCAGAAAAACCTCTACAATTATGATGAGGTTGGATGTGTGGAATACACAAAATACTGCAGGAGGAAGTTCAGCTTGGGTGCGTGCAGCTAACAGGCTATTCACACCACCTATGTCCGCGCATGCGCACAATCAGCCCAGGTACCAGCATTTTACGCCAATTTCGGTAAGGCAGGCGGTAGTGAGAGCGAATGTTGTTAATAGTTCACCAGCAAGAGAATAATTTGCAAGTAATAATTATTAGTTACAAAGACGGGATCAATCTATATACATGATAATGTTCAGGAAATGATTAGATAAAACAGGTATTTAATGATGGTTCTAATTGCAAGCGAGGACGAGTAATTAGTTAAAAAATCTTTAGTGTATTGACAAAAAGGCTACAGAAATTAAATTCTTTTATTTAACAGAGGAATTTTTATGCAAACTTAGACCCTACTCTTATAGCATAGGACTGTCAGAATTTATTATTCAATAAGAAAGCTTACTGAAAATGATAATTTTCTTTCATTCATCACTTTTTCAGTATCCACACAGGTTTATAGGTTCAAATGCCATATTTCAAAATCAAAGTTATTTATGAAATAAAAATCCGATGAATCATTTGTGTGTGCAGATTTTTAAATCTAAATCTCTTACATTAAATTATTTCTTTCTTTTAAATTACATCCCATTATTTATATCAATTTAATTGATTAATGTGTTTGTACTAATATTTCAAAGTTCGTTGAAGCACTTTTTGTGTCCTGAAAATGCCAAGTATTTCCATAAAAAAAAATAAGCAGGCATACAGAATAATTCATTTAATAGTTGATATAATTTAATAGTGATATAATGATCGCTTTTGACTTATTTTATGTCTAAATTTTCTACACAGAAATCCTCTGTCTAATTTTTAGTATCTTTTATCGGACGAAATTTTTCAAAGAGGAATGAATTAAAGTCTGGATTGCGCAAAACACATCTTTAAAGCTAAATGTATTCTAAGAAGTACAAAAAATGTAAACAGAATTTTGTCCCTCCCTCAAATCAGACATTTAAACTATTCAAACCGTTAAGGAAAAGGAAAAACATTCGTACATAAAAATCTGCCCCCTTTTTTTTTTTTATGTATACTTTAATAAAAGGAAATGTGTTCCTTCTTTTTACAAGAAAAGGAACCCATTTTCCTTTCTAAACTTTTTAAAGTCGCCAACACTTAAAAAATGATAAACTACGCCAAGGTAGAAACCCGCCTATTTTTTTAAAAAAAGATTCACTACAACAGTTCGCATACACAGAATTCGTTCCTTTTGATGGGGTTCAATTGACGGATCTGACAATTCAATGCGCATGCGTGGTTAATGTTGGTGCGAATAGCTTAAGCGGCTAATCGCACCGGTGGTGCGAATAGCATCGGCCAGGTGCGTGAAATAAACAGAACAATTGGATACCAGAGAAATTAGCCTAGATTTTACTTAAAACTTACAAAAAATTCAACTGAAGTTTCAAGACTTTTTTATTAGACTTTTTCTTCTTCTATCTTCCATTAAACACTGGATCATTGAATATTTTATATTTTATTCAATTATGTGCTATTTCTAATTTAATACTCTTTGCTTGGTAAGCAAATAGCAAACATAATACTATTTTACGTATAATAAATATAAACATAATACTACGTATGCCGATCTGCTTCTACGGATAATCCCTTAGCAGGGATAAAGTATCACGCTGTCCTCCTAGAAGAAGTACGTCATCGGATGACAACCATAACGTGGTCTACCATAATAAGCTGTTTCTCCCCATTTTGGCGTTAAGGCTGTTCTCCGAACCTTATCCCATTTTACTTTTACAACTATGTAATGAACGGAGAAATATTGATTTACTGTTGAAGTAATATAAGCTGCGATAGATGGGAGATAAATCGATTTTATGGAATAAGAAAGGATTTATGATGAAGTAGTGGAGGTCTGAAATTTGTTGTGTAGTATAACTTCATAAAATAAATATTCATAGCATGATCTGGCTGAACACAATCCGGCCCTTACATTTTTAAACCTTTATATGTGTACTGTTAGGAAGAATAAATATGAGCACAAAATGTATGTATCATAAAGTTTCTCCTTTTTTCCTTTGTCATAATTAAACCTGGTCCCTTTTTTTACCACCTATATCCCCAAAGGGAAATAAGATTAGTTATAGTTATAATAAGATAGTTAAAAATTGCAAATGTAAGTTTTCTGCGAATTCTGTAGTTCTTATTTTTAACACTCCGAAGTTCGAATCCCGCGAACGGGCTGGCTGCATGGGCGTTTTTGTGGTTTTCCCCATGTGTAACGTGTATACGAGCCAGTTTCCCTTAGAAAGTCCTCCACGAAGGCATCCCTCCTCTTAGGCAGATAGCCCTCGAGGCTTTGCCATAATCACACACACTTATTTTTAACAGACGGCAAAAAGACTGAGCATATCTGCAAAATGTGTTTTTTATTTGTTTTCAATTTAGCCCTGTGCTACAGAGGTATTGGCGGTAATTTCAGTCAAGAGTAAAATTGCTATCATGAATGCAAGTTTGGGTAAATGATTTGAATGTGCATTTTCGTTTTGCCTCACTTTTATAACCTAGGTAATTTCAGTGTGCAATGTATATATCGCTTAAATAATTGTCAGGATAATACTGAAAATGGTTGTTGTATCATTGTCATTTGAAATTAAGTAACTCGATTTGGAATTGTCACAATAAAATTTGTATAACTACTAATTAAGTGTAATGAAATATTCCACTGCCTAGACTTCTAACTACATAGTGTTTGCTATTATATCATATTATTTTCCGTTATCAATCAAAAAAGAAAATTAAAATAAAAAATTTTTGGTTATTGTCTTATATATAACATAAAATACTGTAAATACATTCACAACACATTTCCATAGGATTAGCAATAGGCTGACGTGATTAAAGTTCTTAGAATGATCTACTTTGTTGTCATAATATTTGACATTCTCCATGCACATGTAAGAATTTCAGTATACAAATATTTAGTATTAAAACCCATTTTATTACCAGAATGTAGCTAATAGTTTGAGTAAAGTGGCGAATCGCCCACATATCTGTCGCGTGTCGATGTGTACAGGGACAAAGGGAGTGCACAATGCCAAGTTTGTGCAATTCTTTGATGTTTTTTTAAGTGAAAATAAGTTGATGGGTACATGGATACCAAATTTGTGCAATTCTTTGGCTTCTTATATTTAAGTTGATGCAGAATCACCCACTTACAGTGTCTCACAAAAGTGATAGGACACTTGTGCTTTACAAAAAGAAACTGTAATAAAATAAATTAAAAAAACATGTAAAAATTTTTTGTGGGTGTGTTTCATACTTAAATTTAGTAACAATTATTACATAACATACATTTTCTCAAAATATTAAAATAGTAATTTAATAAAAATACAATTGTTTGGAACGGACCAAAAAATGGCTCACATAAGTGATGGGACACCATTAGATACTACTACGTACTACAATAAAAATATTTTTGGGGGTTTTTATTTTTATTCAAAAGCAATTGGCAATAATTTATAAAATCGTCTGTAGTATTTCTCTCCAGTTTGTTTTGGAATTTTTTGTGTTTTTTAGCTCTGTGCAGCCATGAATGCTAAACGAAAAGAAACTTTGCCTGAAATTCAAAAAATTAGTTATTAATTTGCATACTGAACATGGAAAATCTATTAGAAAAACTGCTGAAATAGTTAACATGAGTCATTCAACAGTTTTCAATATCATTAAACGATATAAAAAGAATCATATGATTCAGAATAAAAGAAGACCTGGCCGACCATCAAAGCTATCCAATGGAATAAAGCGAATTATTGTTCAAAATATTAAAAAAAAATTCCAAGAATGAGTGCTCCTAAAGTTGCTGCTGATTTACAAGCATTATATGGAGTAATTGTTAATCCTGAGACTATTAGAAGAGTAATTCGATCTGCTGGATATCACGGTAGAGCAGCCAGGAAAAAATTCTTCGTAAGTGAAAAGAATAGAAAACTCAGACTGGCTTTAGAAAAATCCAACATAAATAAGAACTCTGATTACTGGAATGAAGTTATATTTGCTAGTGAGAGTAAATTTAATATATTTGGTTCTGACGGTAGAATCTTGGTGTAGAGAAAACCCAGGAAAGAATTTCGCAAACAGAACTTGGTGCCAACAGTAAAACATGGTGGAGGAGGAGTTATGGTATGGGGTGTATGTCGTCCGCTGGAGTTGGTAATCTTGTTATCATTGACAGTATAATGGATCAGTACAAGTATATTGACATTTTAAATCAAAATTTGAAATCTTCAGCACGAAAATTGATCCTTCATAACGATTTTAAATTCTACCAGGACAATGAACCCCAAGCACACTGCTTTGAACGTTAGACTCTGGCTGCTGTAAAACTGTCCTGAAATAATAAAAACACCACCTTAATCTCCAGACTTAAATCCCATAGAGAATATTTGACAAGAATTGGAATCAAGAATTCGCAAACGCACCATTTCTTCAAAACAACAATTAAAATCATTGCTTCAAGAAGAATGGGGTAAAATCACTCCAGAAATCACAAAAAAATTAGTCGAATCCATCCCAAGAAGATTAAATCACGTTTTAAAAGTAAAAGGAAATCCAACAGAATATTAAAACATTTTAAGAAGTAAAATTTTTGGATAAATATTTGATGGAAAAGTAAGTGTCTCAGCACTTATGTGAGCCATTTTTTGCTCCGTTCTAAACAATTGTATTTTTATTAAATTACTATTTTAATATTTTGAGAAAATGTATGTTATGTAAGAATTGTTACTAAATTTAAGTATGAAACACACCCACAAAAAATTTTTACATGTTTTTTTTAATTTATTTTACTACAGTTTCCTTTCGTAAAGCACAAGTGTCCCATCACTTTTGTGAGACACTGTATATGGCACATATCGATGTGTATATGGACAAGTCAAGGTAGTATGCAGTGCCAAGTTTGTGCAATTCTCTGATTTTTTTTTTTTTTTTTTAAGTGAAAATAGGTGGATGTGAATATGAATACCGAGTTTGTGCAATTCTTTAACTTGTTACTTTCAAGATTGTGATTTCTCAAAATGCACGAAGCACTGCACTTTTCCCAATATTTTTTCTAGTTTTATTCATAATGTTGAAGATCCATAAGATAATTATATATACATATAAAATAAAAATTTAGCTGGGGCAGTATTTTTTAGTAGTAGAAAGTTTGCAGCGTTTCCACATATAATCTTTATTAAAACGTTCTTTGTAGCAATATGAGCACAGTAAGGTGCTATAAACCCAAGAGGGACACATCTACTTTTCAACAGCTTCAAACATAACTTTCATATACTTATAGCAATGTAATTCATAAAAAATTTTTCAAAAAAAAAGGGGGCAATTCTATATCTCCCATTCTAAACTGTGCTGATTGACGAAATTCAAATTGCGGTTTTCATGTCTCAAAAGTGTGACTTAGGATATATAATAGATTTATATATAGCATTGTTCTAATATGGGTATATTCACAAAAATTGGACTTTTTCTGATATGATATGCCAATTTTTTCCCATATTTCAGTTCTATGACTCAAATTGTGCCTAGATACTAAATTTTGTAATCTTTTTGTGGGAAATTTATGGGGAAATTAAAAAATTTATCTTGGTACAATTTTTTCAGTTTGCGGCAAGATAAATTTCATAATTCAGTTGGCGAACTTCTTAATAAATAATTTTCTTTGTGTACGAGCAGGGAAAAAGATCATTGTTCATACTTTCAAATATTTTAACAAAGTGCGTAAACTACATTTTCGTTATTATCGCTTATAATAATTATGCGAAATTTCAAAACGTTAATTCACGTATATCTTAGGAAATTTTTAATAAAAAACTCTTATTTTTTGTAAGCATGCTTAGAAATGCATCTACTTTAAGATGATGGTAAAAATTTTATAGATTACAATTCAAACTTTTTTTGAAAAAGTTATAAAATTTATTTAAAAATACAAATTTTTAAAATAAATCATAAAAAATGGAGGTTTAAAATTTAGTAAATTTTGAACGTGAAAGAAAGAATAAAATAAGTTTAATAAAAAAAGAGAGATTAATAAATATATGCCAAAGTCAATTAACATTGAGGAGCTAGAACTTTGAGAGCTAATTTTTAAAAATCTACTAACGGGATTTTTGTAAAACTTGGCAGTTTGGTGTAATTTGAGTCATAAAATCGAAGTATGGAAAAAAAATTGGCATGTCATTTCAGAAAAAGTCCGATTTTGTGTCAAAATACCTATAGTAAAGCAATGCAATATATAAAATGATATACATATGTATGATATAACAAATTACAATAGATGCTTTAAGAATAATTGGCAATCTCAAAATTAACATTTGGTGCTCTCCCACTAAACTCATCTGTCCTTCCAAATTTGAGATCTTTCCATGTTATATTTATATAATAACCTAAATTTAACCAATCACAGATTAGCTGTATATGTAAGATAACAAAATACGATATCTGCTTTAAAAATAATTGGTGATCTCAAAATTAGCATTCTAGATTTGGTGCTCTCTTACTAAATTCATTTGTTCTCCCAAATTCTAGATCCTTCCATGTTATATTACAATCTAAATTTAACCAATCACAGATTAGCTGTACTTATACATCACACTTAGTACAGTCAAAAGTCGTTAATTCGGACACCCATAATCTGGAATGATCTATAATCTGGACCTCAAAGCTACAAACTTTCTGCGCATGCATCGCGTTGACGTAAGACGTCGTGTAAGACCTTTATGGCTGCGCATGCGCATAACACGTTTAAGCATGCGCATTTAATGTATAACGGACGGTATAAGCTAAGCTAAAATTATCTAATTCAGTTAATGTTGCAGATTGCGTTATTCCTTAATCTTCGAATTGGATCCGGCTTATTATTTTTTGCAGACTGTTAGAGCAATTTTATAAAAGTAAGCTTGAACTTTCGATTATGTCAAATAGAATTTCCGATATATATTTACTAATATGTAAAGGATCTACAAAGAGAAAGTATATTTCGAAGTCCATTAAACAAAAAGGGGAATTGCTGTAAAAAATGGATAAAGGCATATCCTTTATTTCTCTAACCATTCCGAAATCTGTTTATCAATTTCACGCTGCTCTGCGGCGGCGAGGGGGGGGAAGCGCCGCAGCGCGCAATGAATTGGAAGTTGATCTGTCAGCACTATCCTTATCTTCAGAGCAGATGTTTTTATTTTATTTGGCTTATAATTCCTTACTAAATGTAGTATTTCATCTCGATGTACTCCGTCTTTGATATGATTTAAATCAAATTCCTCGTCATTATAATTTGCTTCCGATAGTGAAGAAAGTGACAGAGGTTATTGAAAACGAAAAAATTTCGATTGACAAATTAGTCGGTATTCTTGACACAGCAATTATAGGACTTGAACAGCAGAACTTTGTAACTGAACAAGAAATTATGTCTGTTTATAGAATTAAAGAGAAAGTATTATCACATAAAATGAAGCAACTTAAACAACTTAGATTGAAAGAAATGTTTAATAAAATAAACAAATAAATATTAAGCTTTTTTTTTTTTTTTTATTTATTATTTATTTTTTTATTTTGATACCCTTTAGATCATAATTGTTCTTTATTTCATAAATTACGGTTTCATATTTTTAATTTTATAACTTCTGCATGCCATCTTACCAGATTTAAACTGATGATCTATAATCCGGAATTGCCGAAGTCCCGACAAGTCTGGATTAATGACTTTTGACTGTGTAAATACTCTTGGCACAAGAACTACATCATTCCTTTCCCTAGCTTCGCCACTGCTAACATATCTCCGCTGCTAAGCCCACTTGCCTAAAATGACTTAGTATCCCTCTATCTGTGTATACAAGAATTATTGTAATTCATTATGATTAGATAAATGTCTACCTAAATGGCTTCGTATGTGTGAAAATAAAGCTTGGGACTTCTTCAAAATTCATTTGTGTCGCTCAGCCTCTTCTAGGTATTCACCATTAATTAAAATATATCTGCATATCTAAAGTTATGGGGCATGTTTAACACCTCTAGTCTTCTAACAGTTATGTGTTAAGAAATTCGTCATTCAAGAATAAATGATGTTTTCAAGAATAAATGATGTTTAATCAAGCTGGTCGTGTTTCTTCTAAAATTCCATCCGATCATTCACCATTCCATAATGTCTAAGCTGCAGTTTTTTTTGGCCATGACTAGAACGGAATTATTTTCATCTTCTGCCAAAAGTACAGCAATGTTAAAATTAACCCAGTTGAAAAATGACTGCACATTGAAGCTTGGCTCGGAATGTATTCTAAAGGCTAACTGCTGGCTGAAAATGTACTTTAGTAATTCATCTCGGGCTCAGTTCTCAGAAAATGAATACGTTAAATGCATATCTCTTCTGTGTGTGTGTGTTTCCCCAGGCAGAATATGAATGCAAATTCCTTCTGTTAGAAAGTCCCCTAAGCTAAGTTGGCATAATTGCTTAATGTAACTAGTAACCTCAAAGTCAGATCTAGCAATATTCACATTCAGTCAAATTTCCAGTTTATATTTTTTCATGTTAGAAAATTACCACTGCAAATACATTCTGATTAAACTGTTTCTTTCAGTACTTTCCTATTAATATTATTTCAGTGAAGTTTTGTCACAAAATTATGAATCATCATCAGATGCCATTTAATTCAAATGGAAAAGTCAGACTGCATTGCCAAAAATTTATAATTTCACTTTTTGGCATATAGCAGTGGCACTTTAAATAAATAAACACTGTATGTAGTTTTGTTTTTGGACCCAATCTAGTAAAAATAAGTTTTAAAATTTGTCTGTTATTTTGCAATCTTTTTTAATATGTGTATTTTATGTTTTTGAATGCTATAAGTTTGCAATTTTTTGTTATGCTTACTTCGGCATATAGAGGTTAAACTGATAAAAACACAAATTACTTTTATATTTTTCTAAGATCATTTTTAAATTTTAAACTTTAATTTGTGTCTTGTCAATTCAGAGACAGGCTTTTTTTAGCTTATTTTGTTGCACCAATCTCCTGACGATATTGTAGCGAAAGATGTACGTTTCATATTTCATTTCTAGTTAAGACATATTTTGCCCCCCCTCTCTTGAAGTTTGCCATTATGCTTTTTGCCATTGGGCTTCTGGGTTTTTTGGTTTTGCATGTGATGTATTCCAGACTGAATACTATGTGTTGAATTTTAAACAAATTTTTTATTTTATTTTGCATTATTATCAACACTTGTTGCTGTTATCAGCATGAAATTAGATTAGGTTTTCAACTGCTTTTGCTTTGTATTTATTCATTCTTTATATAAATAGCTGCATTTATTCATTTTTTATATAAATAGCTGCACACTTACATGTGCTTCCGAACTTGTATATGAGCTATGTTCCGAATGAGCATTATCATGAATTTGTTTGTAAATATTAACTAGGCTTGCTATGCATACCTCCTAATGATGTTCATGAGATAAGAGGTATAAATGTTATCACATGAACAATTGAAAATACTAAAATAATGTATGTTTTAAATTTTAAATTCAGTACATTATAAATAAATAAAATTATTTTACTATGCAATATATACCTTGGATTATTGGATAAAATTGTCTTTGAGGCATGTCATAGGCGAGGATGCAGCTAGTAGATTTTTTTTTCCATGGGTTGGGTGAATCAGTGTCTGACCTGCCCTCTGAAAACTCATCAGTAAATAAAAGGAACATTTGTTATGAGGAGGCTGTATGAGAGGTGAAAGGAGTTAGCATGTTAGGTGGACCAAGAACACTGATTTCTGAAGTGTTTTTCTTAAGAAACTAAGTATCTAACTGGTCTGAACATGTTTTCATTTTCTTTTGTTGTAAATAAGATTATAGCACTGTATGGCATCATGTACACTAGATTTACCTTAGCAAAATCTCTCAGAATTTGGATCTTGACTTTCAAAAAATATGAGGCTCCAGACTTTTTTTTTTTGAATTTTTGAATGAAAGAAAGACATTTCACTCTTTGAGAACAGGTTTGTATATGCAGAAGTTTGTAGGGTGTGGAATGTCTGTATATGTATGCATGTATTCATACCTTTAAAATGCATAAGCAGTAGGACAATTTAATGAAAAAATATAAATTATAAGTGCCAATGCAATCTGGGATATGATGATTAAAAATTTATTCATCTAAATTATTTTTTTCTATTTTTTACATTCGCATAAATAGTGAATTAGTCTCACTTAAGAGAAATATAAGTAATGAATGTGAGAGAAAATATTTGGCAATTTTCAGAGATGATGCTAATAATAGGAAACTACACTTTTTTGGAATCATAAAAATCTATGGTGACAGTTCAACAAATGATGATGTAATACTGCTAAATAAAGTAACTAAAATTCTTACTTTAATAACATCTATAGATTGAAATAAATAAGAATATTTTGCTTTTTAAGTTAGTGAATGAATTTCGGGAACGTGTGTGATTGTGCGACAACACCATTGTTTGAAAGTACAAAATATGACTATTCAAATTAATGGGCTTTGTGTTTTAGATATTCTCACCAGCATATTAGAGATGCATAATTTTTATAATACTTTGATAAATCATTAAATTTAATTTTTAATAAAGCTGCATATATGTTTTGCAGAAGATGTTTCAGTTTGAAATATATTTCAAAATATGCTTTATTACAATTTTATGAATAAAATTTTTTTTTTATTCTTCTTTCAGGTGGCAGAACAGCTGAAGGTTATCCCATCATCATCTTTCCTGATACAGGAACTTTCTGGAGTCTTTCTGATGAAGACTACCATAAATTGATTCTGTACCTCACCAATGTGCCTACGTAAGCTTTCACAATTATGGTTTCTAAGAAAAGCTACATATGGTGATATGCATTTTAGTTGTTTACTTGTTTTAATTCTTTCAAATTTATTCAAAGACTTGCACATCTTCTTCATATATATATGTGTAATGCAAATCTTATGAAGATAGATTTGTTTGAAATAGTTTGACAAACTGAAGCAAAAGTAGCAGAATTTCCAGCTATGAGTTATTAAATTTATTTCCTCCTCTTCCTTCTAAATATCACATACTACACATATCACTTTTAAATATCTTTGTACACATTAAAGGAAGTTTGTTCTCTTGTTGAAGTTTTGAAGTTTATTGTTGAGGTGGGACTAGTAAAATATGGTTCTTGTTAATCTTCATTTCAGATTATTAAATACTTGATTAATAACACCCCCAGTTTCACCATTCAATAAAACTGCCATGTTTTTGGTGTACTTTTGAGTATAATTGCAATAATAAACACTTGTGCATGCATGTACACTCCCCCCCCTCCCCCCAAAAAAATGGGTCATTTATATTTCTCCCATTCTACTTGGCCAATTTATGAAATTCAACTTGCATTTTTCATACCTCGAAAGCGTAGCTTAGGATATGTATTAGATATATATATAACATTGTTTTAATATTGGTATTCTGATACAAAATTGGACTTTTCCTGAAATGACTTGCCAATTTTTTTTTCCATATTTCAATTCTACAACTCAAATTATACCAAACTGCGAAGTTTTGTAAAAATCGCATAGACTATTTTTTTTTAAAATTACCTCTCAAAATCATGGCTCCTTAATGTTAATTGAATTTGATATATATTTATTAATATCTCTTTTTTATTAAACTTATTTGATTCTTTCTTCCAGAATACGAAATTTAGGGTTAATCCAAATAATTTGCTCATTTTTTAATATTTACTCTAAACATTTGTATTTTTAAATATTTTTATAAAATTTTCAAAAACATTTTTTGTATTATGACCTATAACATTTTTAAAATCATCTTAAAGTAGATATTTCTAAGCGTATCTGCAAAAAATTAGTTTTTTATTCAAAATTCCCTAAGGTATATATGAATTTACATTTTAGTGTATTTAATAAAAGCGATAATAACAAAAATGTGGTTTATGTACTTTGTTAAAATAATTTGAAAGAGTGAAATGTGGACCTTTTTTCCTCTTGTGCATCAATGGAAAAAAAGGAAAGTAAGTATGTTACTATATATTAAGAATTCTGCCAAGTGAATTATTCCTGACACAAACTAAAAAAATTGTGCCAAGATAAATTTTTGAATTTCTCCATAAATTTCTCTCCAGAAATTACAAAATTGAATAGCTAGGCATAAATTATCAAATCTATCTAGACATAGAATCAAAATTTATAAAAACATTGATATGTTATTTCAGAAAAAGTTCGATTTTGTGTCAAAATACCTATGTTAGAATAATGCTATATATAAATCTAATGCATGTGATAAGTTACACTTTCAAGACATGAAAAACGCAATTTGAATTGCGTGAATTGGCCCAGTAGAATGAGAGATACAGAATTGCCCCCCCTTTTTTTTGTGCAACGTACCACATTATGATTGAGTACATGGGGATTACATTTTACATTCAGTTGTCATTTTGCTAACAGTGCAGTTGAACAGCTGTAAAAATGTAAATGTCAACCATATATAGACTTTTGTTTTTGCTTATAACATTTTTTATTTATTTATTTTGTTATGTTATTATTTATCAAGAAAACAGTTCGTATGAGCCTTAAAGATAGTCAAACATATGGTTTTCACTAAGTTACAAATTCACAGTGAGTTGCCGACTTTTTATACGTGTGCAGATAGTTAGAAAGATCACGAGCAGGGTAAGCCAGTTGGGGGCTCCTGATGATAAAATTTATGGAGCTCTTAAGAAAGTGTTTAGGTACTTATGTGCTTATATTGCAGTTAGTGCTGCAGTGTAATAAATAATGAAATACACATAAGATTCAAAAGTATTAATAATTTAATGAAACTTTGATTTCATATTTTTATTTTTAAATATTTTTCCATTATTTCTTTTGCATATCAAGACTACAATACATTAAAATGAAAATTATATCAAAACTTGTGCATGCATGTAAACATTTGTATTTTTAAATATTTTTATAAAATTTTTGAAAACATTTTTTGTATTATGACCTATAACATTTTAAAAATCATCTTAAAGTAGATGTTTCTAAGCATATCTGCAAAAAATTAGTTTTTTATTCAAAATTCCCTAAGGTATATATGAATTTACATTTTAGTGTATTTAATAAAAGCGATAATAACAAAAATGTGGTTTATGTACTTTGTTAAAATAATTTGAAAGAGTGAAATATGGACCTTTTTTCCTCTTGTGCATCAATGATTAATATTAATTATCCTTTGGCATTCAAAATTAAGTATCCTTTGGCAAAGAAAAGTAAAACTTCAAACTGCTAAAATGTTTAATAGAATATTTTTAAATTAAAATAGTTCTGTATTAAATTATTAGATGACCCTTAAGTAAAAGGTTTATTACTTTTTTTCCTTGACTTTTTGCTGCCAAATTCATAAATTATTTTCGAAATATCAATATTATTCAATAACCATATATACTAGAACCATACAGTTTAATCTTTTTTCTTACATCATACTTCTTAAATAGTTTTTTTTTTTTTTTCACTCTTTTTAAGACAGAGAAAAATCTTTCTTCAGATGCATTGCAAATTGGAATAGTCAAACAGTTTTTTTTAAATAATTTTTACATTTAGAAAGATTGATAATACTTACCTCAATGCCTGATAAGGGAGAAATATGTAAAAATACATGACCAAAATAACTCTGTCTCCAACCTCTTTTAAAAATAATGAACTGTTCCAGTTCATCTTCAAAATGCATCATATCTGTATCATTTTTATTATCCTATACCTTCTTGCCTCCTGGAGCAATTTTTTGGCAGAGCTTTTTATTTTCTTGTCCTCTTTCTGGAAGTCAATTAACACTAGAGAAGTGCATTATCTAAACTCATCATAGAAAGGAGGCCATTGCCCAAAGGGTTGGACTTCTGCCTGTTGGTCCATGGAAAGTATTTTATTTCTCTTCACCACTTAAAGTAAAACCAATGGAAGCGTTCCTCTATCTGCCACCTGAGGACTCACTCTTTAGGGGTTACAGGCTTCCCCGAGAGTCGTCATAGAGTTAATAAAAATATGTAATCTAAGATGCAGATAATATATCAACAAACTATGTTTTGCTAAATATTCTGAATGGTTGGCAGTTAACTCCATTCAAATACAAACTGATTAGAAAAATCATATAAATATTCATTTTCAAAAAGTTGTATTTACTCTAGCCATTTCATCAAATTAAGCTCTTATTATTAAAATGCACTTAGAAAAAAAAGAAATACATAAACCAATAATTATCGGATAGTTTTCCACTGATTCAAAAGATTTGTAAAATACTTTTACTCTTTCAAATTACAATATTTATTGTTGCTTTCTTTGCTGGTGCCAGAAAAATATTACAGTTATCTTGCCAGCAATAGTCTGAATTCAAATTGGAAAATTACTTATCATTAGATCCCTAGCTATTGCAGTATCCCAGGTGATAAACATGCTGATTAGCTTGCTAAGGAGATTTGTGAATTGCCTCAACGATTTTACTCTTACCCTTTCAAAAGAGCTTTGTGCCATGATAAAAAGTAAAATAAAGGGGACAGTCAAAAATCTATGTAATACCTAAGCCACAAGAAAGGCCTGGAAAAATCTTCTATCTAGAACTATTCAAGACCTTCCGAGGCACCTTTGCGGTTGCAAACTTTAGACTCAACACTGCTCACAACTTTTTATATGGACATTTTGACCACATCGGTGTTGTTTCCTTTCCCGACTACCCACTCTGTTCTACAGGAGACTGTGTGAGTTTTAATGGTATCTTGTTGTGTCCTCATCTTCAAGGCAAACACTTCTCTGTTGCTGACTATTTTAATGTTGCTGAACTCTACTGGGCCACCCATGCATGCCATGCCTATTATAATGTCTTTATACTCCTGACGTTATTAACACGTTTTGTATTCTAAGGAGACTCACGTTGAGCTTATAAAAATGTATGTTAATTTTTTTTTTTTTTATTTTTTTTTTTTTTTATTTTTAACACTGCAAGCAATTAAGGATCTGGTAGTGTCACTATACTTTAATAATATTAAAACTATTTAGTTTCTGATAGATGCATATAAAGGTGGATTGTATTTGTATATGTGACGTGGAAAAAGGATAGGTTGTTGAATTTTCTCTGGAAATATTAAAATTTTAATTTAAATGCATTTTGACTCCAAATTCCAAGATTTTCTCCCTTACAATCAAATCGCATTTTTTATATGCTATACTTAAAGCACTTAAGTGTTACTCTATGTTGTTTAAAATATAGAGTGTTCCATAAATTTAATTGGAAAACACTAGTAAGACAATGACCAGTTATAACAGAATTTTAGCATTACAGTTCCTCTAATTTGTACTTCACAACGATCATATAATTTTCAAACTGCTGTCACATCGCAAGACCTTTTAACCGGAGTCAGAGTTAATAAATATTTCATATGGGTATCTATTATTAGTTCTTTGCGTCCGAAGCGATCTTTTAATATTTTCACAGCCTTTTCGTAATTCTCTGCTGTTAACATCAATCCTTGTTTGCAGTTTCTGCATCAGAAGTAAGAATTGACTTTAAATAGTTAAATTTATCTACCGCATGTAGACTTTAGTTTTCGTGTACAGCTGTCTCAAATCTTGCCCGAAACCTGGGCCAATTTGGGGAGTTTAATTTTGTTTTGCGATTCAGTGACACTTCCATATGAAGTAGAATTAGTGCTATGTGGGTTAGTATCTAAATATCTTTTCGTGCGTAATTTCCAAACAATAATTTTACTTTTATACTCTTCTCTAGACATTATTTCATCTTCTAAATTTACTACATCAATTAAAGTTTCAATAACATTAT